AGGCCTTTTAGATCCATCAGATAACCATTAAGAATACACAAATAAATAAACCTACACATGAAAATAAGAAAAAACAAACGTTGAGATGCTACCCATTATTATCTCACTTGACTAGACATTATTCCCTATAATTATATTTTACAATCAATCCCCAAAAATCAGCGATCTTATAGCAAAAAAGGGACTATCACAACATAACCCAATATGACCCATATATAGTAAGTCATGGTAAAAGTTTTACGGGTACAAAGTTATTCTTATTTTTATAATATGAAATTATAAATTAAAGTAGGAAAATCCCAACTTTTATATTTATAAAAATTGAGATTGGAAGAATGTAACCTACATCAAATTAGACAATTTTTTAAACTAAGCTGATAACAGAAAATGAATCGAAGTCGCTAAAACCTGGCTTTATCTCATTAAAATACACCCCCCCCCCCCCAAGTAACCCCCCCCCCCCCCCAAGCTAAAAAGGGCTTTTTAGTTTTGATAAAAATGATTTTGAATGGATTTTAATATTTTTATAAAAATTTGTCAAGTGTAGAGCTCTTTACCCTATATAACCGTAGTGCTTAAACCCAGCACTGCAGTGCTGCCAACGTAGCACTACAATACTCCAAAAGAAAATAATTTAGATTTTACATGCATGCACAAGGACCCCAGGGATTTACTTTAGAATAATTTTAGACACTCTTATGCATACATGGCCTATATAGACACATGTAAGATGGATGGATGCAAAAATTTTGAAATTTTAACTATCTTCATCAGACCTAATTAGAATAGGTACAACCATGTGTTATCATAAGAGGTATTACACATGCGGTAGGAGGCATGAATAAGGAGAGAGAATATATATTAGACTCCGAAGCTTATACATTTGAGTTATAGTCATCCAACTTAGCAACCTATGGTGATAACATTATTAAAGAGATAGTTAGCCAAAGGGTATTGCTCTGACCGAGGAGATAGAGAAGAGGCTATATGTTGAGTCATATATACTCATGCATGAAACTCAGTCAAGATGAGAACAATCAGGGAAAAATAATATTAGAAGAAGATTCAAAGGGTTGAGGAGATTGAAGATGATTAGATTTATTATATGTTGTGATCAATGTGATGAACTTGGTTTGTTATTGTCATACAAATTAAAAATATAAATTTATTCTAAATATTTTCTAATGATTGGTTTATATCATTGTTAGTTAAAATTGTTAATTTCAAGTTATAATGATATGGTAGAATATGTTGATATTATATGCTATAAATTTCTATTTGTATCCATAAGAATAGAGGTTGAGGAGTTTTATTTTTCTACAAATTTCCAACAGATTTCCTAAGAATTTTCCTCTAGTAAACTTTGATACAAAAATGACAAAAGTCAGTGGAAAAATTCACCTGAAACTTTGGTGGATTTTTTACTTGTATTTTTGTCATTTTTAAAAAAATTTATGTTTTTGGTCATCAGTTAATTAAGAAATTTTTTGTTTGTATTCCATTGAAAATTCATAAAAAATATATTCTATCAGAACCCTGCTTCCTATGCACATGTTGTTGGCAAAATTGATTTCACCCTAAATTATAATTTCTAACAAAAATTTTTAGATTTTTGACGGATTTTTTCTTCAAAGAGCTCATTTTTTATAGTAATCAATCATAATTTGGGTATATGTTGACTCATTGCATTGGCAAGTATCGTAGAGTGAGACCTATTTAAGCTATGCATATGTAAGATGCACCTCTCTATTTTTGTGGTGCTTTCTATTAATAGCTTACTCTTTTGCCCTCATAATACAAACAAAAATCTTAATTAGAAAGTTGTGACTTTGTTTCCTAATAGTAATTAGAAAAATCCTTGCAAACAAGCTCAAGAATAACATGTCTTATATCATTCATAAAAGCCAATTATTGAAAACCTTAACCTAATATATTAATTCAAACCATAAAAATAGAATCTTAAACCATAACCATTAACCTTTAACCTTTAACCCTAAAAGAAATTCTTAAACCCTAAACATCAATCTAAAACCCTAAACCCTCAACTAAAATCCTAAACCTCAAACCCTAAACCTTAAATAAGAACCTTAAACCCTAAACTATAAAATATAAACCCTAACCCTAAACCTAAACCCTAACCCTAAACCCTAAATACTAAATCTAAACCCTAATCACTAAACCCTAAACTCTAAACCCTAAACCTAAACTCTAAATCCTAATCCCCAAACCCTAAACCCTAAATGCTAAACCCTAAAACCTTAATTTAAACCCTAAACCCTAAAGGCATTTTATTCTCTCATTTGGAGGTTTGTTGCCTCAAGTTGTCTCATTCCAATGTGGTGGAAACAAAAATATTGTTCACTAGCTAGGCTTCGAAAAATTGGAAACACTTGGACATTATTGAATTATCTATTAAACAACACATTTCCATTGGCATTAATATCTCCATTAGCAACTCATTCTTCTGGGATTGCTGGTGTGGTGCGAAAATCTCTTTTGGTCTTCACAGAGCGGTATTTCTCGTTTTTGCAAAGCAATACTGAGCAAATACCGAGCAATACCGAGAAAATCGCGAACATAGCATTCCCGGGTTCCGCTCCGGGTCAAGTCGTCGGGCCGCGCGGTAAAGAGTAAGAGCACGTGGCGACATGTTATTGACGGCCGAACGTACCTCTACGTCAGGTCAGAGGACGTAATAATTTTTCCTATTAAACAGCACTCCTTAGATAATGAGTCCTCTCAATTTTTGAAATCAAAGAAAAAATAATTATGTAAAATTGTTCTAAACGATGGCTAAGAAATTATTTGAACTCTGTTGAATCTTTTAAACATACAAATAATCGATGTGGTGTAACTAAAATTTAATAAACTTTCTTTTAATTATAAAACTTCTTTGGAAAAAGCAATACATATCAAGATATTTGTTTATATTTACCATTAAACTAACAATAAAAAATACATCCAATCAATGGGGTTATACTACTCATACGTACAAGACAAAAAAAAATACATCCAATTGATGTCGTGTAACAAAATTTTTTTAAATCCCATTAAGTTCGGTTCGGGTTATCGGGTCAGGTCAGGTCAACCCGGTAACCCGCACGGGTGGTCGGATCTGGGTTGTATATCCTGACCCGTCTAGCTAAACGGGTCGGGTTTGTGTCAACCCGTTTATGCCTGGGTCAACTCAGGTTGGACCTGAACCAGGCCATTAACCCAAATTGACACCTCTATCACTCATTCCCATAGCTATGCTTGGTACTTTTGTCATCGGCCTTTTTTGATCAACTATTATTTCTAATAAACTATTACTTTATTTTATATTCTCTAACTTTAACTCATTAAAAAAAGAATGAAATTCTGCATTTGTAGCGTATTTACCTAAACAATTTAAAATTATTTTTATGATCTATATATCAATTTACAATTCACATTTATTATTCATCAAATAAAACAATTCTTGAAGTTTTCTAAAGCAGTAGTGTAATAGATTAGAAGAAATGATTTATTAATTTATTTATTTTATCTATATAAAACTACCAATTTGAGGAATTCTTAAAATCTGAAGTTGAAAATAAACTGTAATAATAATAGCATTTAATTAAAGAACGAATTTTATAAATATTTCAGTACTCATTTAACGGCATTAATCAATTATCAAGGAGAGAGATAAACGTAGGAAAAAATTGCATGATCGAAATAAAATTCAAAATATTTAGATTTATTTCAAAATAAACATAATTTAAAATTAATTAATTATTTCTATATCATATTTTGTTCAAATAATAAAAAAATTTAACTTAATTGTAACTACATTTTGATCCGAATATTCTAACATAATTTCTTCTCTTTTAATATATAACATATATTAGTAAAAAAAAAATTCTTCTCTTTTAATGTATTCATTTAATTTATGGATCCTAATCAAAATGTCAGTTATGTAGGCAATAAAGAATAAACATCTAAATATTAGATAACTTAAAGCTGTTTTTAACCCTATTTCTAAATCAGCCATCAATGACTTTTCAAGATTATGGGCAGATTTAGGCTTCATTTGGGACGGATTTCTTCTTGCTTCTTAAAGTGGCTTTTTAGTACAAAATTTAAAATTTTTGTACTAGAAAGCCGTTTTAAGAAGCATGAAGAAAGCCGTCCCAAACGAAGCCTTAATAAGATATCCAAGCCTAACCAATGCAGCTGAAGAAAAAGAAATGTTGGCCACTGACGGAGAAACACAAAATTAAGTTTTGTAGAGATGTGAATGCTCAGATGGATGAGTGTCTTTACATTTAGGGACATAATGCGGAATAAACAGATACGTGAAATTGTTGGAGTAGTTCTAGTGACATAAGATTAGAAAGAGTCACGCTTAGATATTTGGTCGTATAAAACGTTGGTCTTCTTATGACCCGATTAGGGGAGTAAATATTGTAGGATTTGTTTGGAATGACTTTCTTACTACTTTCAAAAGCAACTTGATGAAAAATTATCCCAAACGAAACCTTAGATATCACCTATGTTAAGAAAAATAGAGGTAGACTTACAATTATTTGATTAGAAAGTATTAGAATTGAGATTTATCTATTAAATTGAAATGAGAACTTAACTCTTAAGTTTCGTTTGGGACGTCTTTCTTACTGCTTCTTAAAACAATTTTATTGTACAAAATTAAAATTTTGTACTAAAAAATTGCTTTATGAAATAGTAAAAAGGTTGTCCCAAACAAAACCTTAATAGAACATAATGAAGAACAAAGGATCTCATGTAATGGGAATTAGGCACAAATATAATTTTTTTGATCATTTTTTTAGTAAATAATTTTAAAAATGTGGAAAAAATTATTTGGCGATGTTATGCCTAAAATTTTTAAATTTATGCTAAAATTAATATCATATATTTAATTAGATGAAAATTCTGCATTAAAATATTATTAAGTTTTTTTTTTCTAAAATTTGATTCAATGAACATAATCCTGTCCATTTAATTTACCCAACTTTGACCCGGAACCTAAGGGAAGCTGCTTCGGTATTGTTTTGCAAATTCTAATTCTTTTCCCAAATTACATTTGCATTTATTAATTTAGCAGATTCGCTCTGTGTTCTGCTGTATCGGTTCTCGACCTTCCCGTTCGCTTTGTTCCGCCTTTCCAGAAAAAGTAGAAATCTATTTACAGAGAGATGATAAAACTCTTCAAGAATGGAAACGGATTTGCGGCGGTTTGATAGTTGGTAAGGACTTTGGTCCCTTTCCTTTCTAATCTATCATTGCTGTTGTTCATTGATTTGGGCTTGAATGAATTGATTAGGGTTCACGTTTTATGTCTTCGTCGATTGCTGTGGAATGATTCTTTTTAGGGTTTCGATTTTTTTCCCGATGGTTGAATTCGGATTTGGGGTAAAAACTGGAGTCTTTTTAATTTTTTTTTTCTGAAACAGGAATCTAACTGTATGAAAACATTGATGTCAGCATCTCTGCTATCATTTCCTTGATTTTTATACGCGGATCTTTTGTTTCCGTCTATCTCCTGTATTTTTTTGATTGGTTTGATTTTTCTGCCTGGATTGATACAGTGATAGAATTATATGTGAGAGTTTAACTCTTGTTTTGGTCCTCAATATTTGCGAGTGATAGTTCTAAATTATATAAAAATGAAACGATTCTAAGGCTTGTGTAATTATGAATAAAAAAAAAATAGTTTGAGATGAACATATTGATTTGTATGGTTAGACCTTTGTATCATTTTTATGCTATTTTGATGGAAGCTATTGGTTTTGATTCTAGCAATAACCTTTGGGGTGCTTGCTTGAGGTTATGTGCGAACTAGCTAAAGTTTAGATTGTTAAAACTTGTTGAAAATGTGAAATGGGAATTCCAATTTTTTGGAAAATTTTACCGTTGCTTACTTTAGTTTTATCTTTTTGGGTCAATGTAGATGGTAGCATTGTTGGGAATGAAACTAAATCTCATTACCATTTTTCTTTGTGGAACTCAGTAGTGGCAGAAGTAAGATTTTAAGAAGACAGAAAAAGGGTTATTGGAAACTTTCATTGATGCAAATTGGTGGATTATATGTGGAGCTTTATTCATTTTCAGTTTATTTGGCGGGTCTTTACGCAGCACTTTCAACTATATTGAGTAATTCAGAGTAGAGGCATTTTTTATTTGAGCAAAAGGTGCTATTTAAAATTGATACCAATGGATAAATATGCGATGGTTGATGGTCTAGAGTTAGAGGTGTATGATGTTCCGTGTGAAAATCTTACAGAAAATGACGTCAGTGATGAAGAGATTGGAGAAGATGACCTGTCAAGACGAATGTGGAAGGACAAAATTAAGCTAAAACGGATTAGAGAGCGCCAAAAGCTTGCTGAACTTCAAGCTTCTCAGAAGCCGAAAGCCAAACAGCCCTCTGACCAGGCTCTTAGGAAAAAAATGGCCCGGGCCCAAGATGGGATTCTCAAGTATATGCTGAAGTTAGTGGAAGTATGCAACGCTCGGGGTTTTGTCTACGGTATAGTTCCTGACAAGGGAAAACCAGTAAGCGGTTCCTCAGATAATTTAAGAGCTTGGTGGAAAGAAAAGGTAAAGTTTGATAAGAATGGGCCTTCAGCTATAACCTTATATGATGAAGAGATCTCTGCTACTGGGAACAAGGAAAATAAAAGAAAGAACTGCCATAGCCTTATGGATCTTCAAGATGCTACCTTGGGATCTCTCTTATCTTCATTGATGCAACATTGTGATCCACCACAGCGGAAATATCCACTAGAAAAGGGCCATCCACCCCCTTGGTGGCCTTCAGGTAATGAAGACTGGTGGATACATTTGGGTTTACCAAAAGGCCAGGTCCCCCCTTATAAGAAGCCTCATGATTTAAAAAAGGTGTGGAAAGTTGGAGTTCTTACTGGTGTTATCAAGCACATGTCTCCAAATATTGACAAAGTTAGAACTCATATCAGGAAATCAAAGTGCTTGCAGGATAAGATGAGTGCGAAGGAGAGTGCGATATGGTTAGGGGTGTTGAGTAGGGAGGAAATGATCACTCAGCAACTCAGCGGCGATAACATAATGTCTGACATAACTGAAAATCAGCAGAGCTTTCAGGAGGAAAGGCACGGGGAGGATACCAATAGTAGTAATGAATATGATGTTATTGAATTTTGTGATGCACCTGGTTCTGCATCTTCAGCAGATGTTGGAAAAGCTCAGCTGGTGGAGGATCAACCTTCCCTTGCAACCATTCCTTCAACTACTATGGAGCTTGAATGGCGGCAACCAGAAAATTTGTCTGATGTTGCTCAAAATAAAGAGCAAGTTAATGAACGGCATGAACGGCAGAGGCGCAAAAGGCCTCGCCTAGATTCAAATACTTCCGGTCAGTTTTCTGGCGAGCATCAGAATAGAAATGTAGTCTTGGAAGCAGAAAATGATATTTCTGTAATGAATTCAGTGGAGCTTCCCTCAACGAAATATCAACCAAACAGTGTAATAGATGTTCATAGTACAGACGGATTGTTTACAACTCAAGCAAATCAAATCGAAAACCAATACCTATTATCTCAATCTATGACTAACAGATTGTTTTGTCCCGCTCCTTTAAATGTTTGTGTGCAAAACATGTTTGTTGCTGGGCAGCCATTACTGTATCCAAGAAGACAATATGAAGAATTCACTGCACCTTTAGTGGACCATCATGCCAATCCCATGAATGTTTCATTTCCTACTAGTAATCCTGTTAATGGGGATTCATTGCCACTGAATGGAAGCTCAAACTCAGTTCCCAGAGACATGAATCCTTTCATAGAGCAGGCTTATCCCATCGATCCAGATAAATTCATAGGTGGTCAATTTGATAGTTCTGTGGAGTTGCCTCTGGATCCCTTTGCTCTTTCTAGTCCACTTATTGACATCGATAATTTCCAGATAGATGATGAAGCCTTAATGGAATACTTGGGAGCATAAGTGAGTTCAATCAATGCCATCCTATTTTTTTCTGCACCAAATTTCCTTATATATTTAATTTCTGTTTTGTGGCGTTCGGTTCACAGAAAATGTAGGCTTCGTTTGAGATGGCTTTTTTACTGCTTCTTGTAGCAGCTTTGTAGTACATAACATTTAATTTTTATAGTAAAAATTTGCTTTGAAAAACAGTAAAAAAGCCGTCCCAAACAAAATATTAGTCAGCAAGTTGTATTAATTGTATCAAGGAGATTTTCATTCAGACTGACTGGGTGTTGCTTTCTGGTAAGATAATCAAATTGTTATCTGCTAATCAAAATGCTGCAAAAGGATTCTTTATTGTGATGAGAATCCCATTTGTACAGTTAGGTCTCTGACTTTCTTATGAGGCAGCAAGGAAAGGTTTGTTACATTATTGTAAAAGAATTTGCTCCCATCTTTTCACTGGTAATGAACTAAAACAAAGTTGTTATCCACTGCTTTATATGAAGAAAGGAAATGATTAATGGCGAAGATGACTGCTGTAAGGATTAGGCAAGTAAGACTACATTGCATTTTTTAATTGAATGATTGGAAAAATCTTCTTGTTTTTATTTAAGGATTTTGAAAACCTGTTGGTATCTGGTCACAGTTACTTGGCTGAAATTTGCTTGATTTTTATCTTTATTACATGCCTTTGCTGCGCAAGACATAGGTAGCTTGCTGAAATGCAAGATGTCCCTTAGCGTCTTCAACCATACATGTTAACTTCTTAACTTTTGAAGAATTTTTTGTTCTAATAACTTCTATAATGACATAATTAAGGATGAAGCATATTGTACTTTTGTTTTCTTCTATTTCCTGCTACTAATGTTTATAACTCCTTACATATGCTTAGAATTTTATGCAATACTGTTCTATTATTCTGTGTTTTCTTTTTGTTCAGTTGAAAGTTTATTCAAAATGAGCTGTTTGACATATTGGCTGGCATCTTTATTTGAAGGCTTTATTAGGGATGATTTTTTTACTGTTTTTTTTAAATTTTTTTTTTCTAAAATAATTATTTTTTATAATAAAAAATGATTTTAGGAAGCATTAAAAAAATCATTCCAAACTAAACCTTGGGCTTTGTTTGGGCCAGATTTCTTACTACTTAGCCGTTTTTTAGTTAAAAATTTTTAATTTTTGTATGAGAAAATTAATTTAAAAAGCAGTAAGAAATATATTCCAAATGAAGCCTTGGGATGGCTTTCTTTCTGCTTTTTATAGAAGCTTTCTAATACAAAAAATTTTTATTAAGAAGCAAAAAGAACACCTCATTTAGGACAACATTATCATTACTTTTTAAAATAATTTTTTTAGTAAAAAAATTCTAATTCAAAATTTTTTTTAACTAAAACACAATTTTAGAAAACATTAAAAAAGTCGTCCCAAATAATTCCTTATACTTCTTTTGGGATGTTTTTTTTTACTGCTTCTTAAAGTAATTTTTTTGTATAAATTTTTTTATTTCTTATACTAAAAAATTATTTTAAAAAGCAAAAAGAAAATCGTCCCAAAAGAAACTTTAGTCTAATGATATAATGGAGTTTTACCATTGGGCTGAATTTAAAAGGCGCGAAATCATTCATTTTTTAAATTATATTGTTAAGAGAGCCAAATTTGATGTCAGATAAAATGTTAGTTCAAATTAAAAAATATTTTAGAACTTTTAGGAAACATTAGAAGTATATTATCAGTAGAAAAGGATATTTGGTCATTGGATGAAGTGGGATTAACAAAGTTAAAAAAGTGGCAAAGATTAATAGTAATGATGCTTATAATTATTATTATAAATTTAAAGTTTTGTAAAAAATGCAATTAACAAAACAAAAGATGTAATTTAGTATGATTTATTTAACTAACCTGGTATTATGGTGTATAAAATAAGATTTATAAAATAGTGGAGGTAAAAGAATAAGAGATCTAAATGCTTTGATGAAATTCGATTTATTTAAGATGAAATTTAAATGACTGATCTTTATTGAAATGTTTATTGAGATTGAAGAAGTATAAGAAGATATTGTACTGATTTAAGTTATCATATCAATGGAATTTCAAAAGCAAAGATAATGTCAAAAGTGTTGGATAAAAAACATTTTTGGTATCAATATATCAAAAGTGCCTTGATTGAAGTCCTAATCAAGCTCTTTATGCATAGTTGGAAATCTCTTAAAGCTATTTGATGGAGCAATTGATGTTTGAATATTGCATGCTTACAGTCAAAGTGTCTTAACAATAGAAATTCAACAAGTTTAAGATCACTTAATTTTGAGTCATTAATATACTTAAATATTTAAGAAATAGTTTATGAAAGAGAGATTCAACACTTAGCATTCGATGGAGTGTTTAGAGGGTTTAACTAAAATTACTCTGAAAAAATATAAATAAACATCTTATTCTTCACATAAAAGGAGCCTCAAAATATGAGTTTGGAGCTAGACTTGAACTTGGAATTGGAGAGAGCTTTGCTTGATTACCTTCAAGTTATCGTCACTTGACTACCATAGTTTGACAACAATTTTTTAAATGTCATCTGATTACTGTCCTCCCCACCCCCCCCAGCTTGACTATAATCACTAGCCTATCATTCCTGACCAAAATTGTATGACCACCATTGCTCGACCGTAGTCACCCGATCATAATCACTTAATCTCTATCGCCCGATGATTTCTTAATCATCGTCATCCTATTACTATCATTTGACCGTTTCTTGAACATCATCACCAAACATTTTTGCTCAATTATAGTCACTTGAATACCATCATAAGACTTGTGTCACTAGACTAGGGTCACTTGACTATTATTTCCCAAATAAAATTTCCTGACTACCATCACCCAACCACTGCCACGACCAACACTTGTCTACCACTGTTGGACTATTTTTGCCAAACCCTAATCACCTGACTATCATCTCCTTAATGTTATCACCAATGACATCACCAGATGCCATCACTAATAAAGTTGATGTAAATCGTTAACACTAAGGTCAATGCACGTTATCGCTAATAAATCAAATGCATGCCACTAGCATTAATATCGACGCTTGTCATATACAACAACATTTTTAAATACCATCACTCTGAATTTTATGCACCCCATTTACACCAACCCTCATACCTGGCATCACTATGATAATTAATGTATGCTTTCAACACTAATATCAACACAAGCTATCATCAATGAAAGTTGATACCTACCATCAACATTAATCCTGATATCTATCATTGCCAATAAAGTTGATACATGCCATTGATCCCAATGTCAATATCTGTCAACTTCACTGCTTGCCATCACAATAATGTCAATGCATACAATTGCTAATAAAATTGATGCATGACATAAGTACCAATTTTGACTTTCAAAAAATTCGCCACCAACTGTCGCCAATCACGTTGATGTATGCTATCACCAAGGAGACTGATGTATGTAATGGAGAGCAATTTCAATATCTTCCATCACCAATAATATTGAATGTTGATATCACCAATAAGGATGATGTATGTTGTTAACATCTACGCTCATACCCACCAACTTCATCACTTTTTGTCATTGATTATATTAATGCACATTATTACTAACAAAGCTGATGTATGTCAATGACATCAATCCTGATACATGCTGATATTGTCATTTACTATCTCCCCCAATGCTAATGCCCATCATAATGCTCCTCCAACTTTTATCATAAAATCCATTCTTTGTAGTTCATCTCTACTACATTATATCAATACTCTGATTGCAAAAATGGGCAACATTTGTTACCTATAATATACATCAGTGAAATCATGCTAATTTGACCATGACTTATATTTTTTCTTCTTTTAGAGTTTCCACATAAAATATACTGTATGTCCTATGAGATACTTTCAACTTATCTTAATTTTGTGTGTGTGAGATCTTCATACAATGCAAAGGCAATAAACTCCCCCTCTTCTTATTGTGCTATTAATTTTCTTACACGCAATAGCTTGGCGTCATCTATGAGAAGTTATTCTAGGCAACGATAATCCTTATTACAATCTTGAAAGAACATTCACGTCAAATTCTCAGGCATGGCTATAATGGGTTACCATCCACTCATTTTATAGTTTTGCAAGAAGTCAAGAGCAGAAGACACTTGATTACAATCTTAAAAGGATAATGTCCTTTGCATGATTATAATAAAAAAAACTCATCTTTTTATCATCTATTGTTGCATTAGTTTTAAGAAAAGCAGGTTAAGACTAGGAGAAATCCCATAATACAATTCCAAATTTATGTTCGTTTCAACATCCTGAGAATGATTTTAGTTACTAAGTCCTTCCCTTCACCATCTATGTAACCAAAGCAACACCTCTTAGCAATTATTTTTCTAAATCTTCTTATTAACATAAGAGTTTTAATAAAAAGCATTTCAAAGAATTTAAATTTTCTTTGTTGTCACCAACTAGCCTATTATTCCTTGGGCGATGTCACATTAATGACCTTGAAAGCATAGTAATAGCTTAAAAATAGATCAACCCTTACCTTTAATTCAGAAAATATGCATAATTGTCACATCTCAATAAAGGTACAATTGGTCTCAAAGGATTTAGTTCGGCCTCTTTAACTATTTTGATGCATAGTTGTAAATTCATCAAGTAATATTTTGATGAACAACCTTAGATAAATCAAATTTTGGGTAGATTTTTCTTTAATCATCTAGCCATTGGCTAAGGTTTGGGGTGGAGCACTAGATAGACTAAGGTAAATAAAAATTTTCATGACCTCCCAATACAAATGAGGAGCTTAATTCAAATTTCATCTCTAAAACTTGTCACTATCATAATAAGATGTCAACTAAACCTATATATGAACTCAAATAAAAACATTAAAGAGAAATATGCATTCAGAGGTTAAATGAAATAAGAATTTTATTTCATGTACATATGAACATAATACATAAAAGAATTATTGCAACCACAAGATATCAGTATATTCTCCATCACTATTATTAAGGATATCATCAATAAGCTTATTTCTATGCCATCCTCAATGTATGGGGAGGAGTCTTTAGATTAGGTGTGTCAATTCGGGTCAACGGGTCGGGTTCAGGTCGAAATCGGAACTGACCCAGCACTATTCGGGTCAACCCGAATCTGACCCATTTTTAAAAATAGGTCAGGTTTTTGGATCCGAACCCGGCTCTATTCGGGTCCGGGTCAACCCGTCCTGTCACAAATGACCCAAAGTTGACTTTAAATTGCTAGTTTTCGGGTCAATATTCGATTTTCGGGTCAAAATTGGGTAAAAACGGGTCAATCTCGGGTTTCTAGGTAAAATAGAAGTTTTTGTGTCAATTTCGGATCATTTTCAGGTCAATTTTGGGTTGCTGGGTCAACCCGAACCCGACCCGATTTTTAAAACATGTTGATTTGTTGAACCCGAACACGACCCATTTCGGATCCGTGTTGATCCATTTCAGATCCGAGTTGACCCATTTCGGATCCGCGTTGACCCTAACATGGAT